TCGAGCCCAACTCTCAACCCATTTCGGCACAAGACCTCGAGTTTGCAGGCTCAAGCGCCCACTGGAGGGCAAGACGGCGGCAGTATGGGCGTGCCGGGACTTTGGCCCAATCTGGTTCCCTCTATGCACATTCCGCTCTGCAGGCTGGCTGACGAGCTTTTGATCTGCGATGATGGAGAGGAGGAAGCAAAGTCTCGACGAGCTCTGATCGTCGGTATCGATGTCTCGGCATGGCTGTATCACGCCACCTCGTCTCAAGGCGGTGCCAACGCCGCTTTACGTCTTCTTCTTTTCAGGTTGCTGCGCCTGTTGATGGTGCCCAGGCTTCGACCGGTCTTTGTGTTCGATGGACCAGGTCGACCTCGCATGAAGCGAGGCGCGTCCCGCCATGCGCAAGATTGGTACGGCATCGATGCCCTCAAGAAGCTGCTGGACGCGCTGGGCATGCAGTGGATCGTAGCACCTGGAGAGGCTGAGGCCGAGCTCGCTCAACGCTGCTTCAGTGGACTTGTGGATGTGGTGTTGAGCGACGATGTCGACTCGCTCGTGTTTGGTGCATCCATCGTGATTCGCAAGTGCGTATCACATCGCTCGTCTGTGGCCCCCGCTGCCCAATGCTGACGTTAGCGCTTACACCTTTTCTCAGCTGGAGCTCGGGTATTTCCCTTCGTGGAGAACAGCGCGATGACGTCTCGGAAGCTCCCGCTTCCTCTTGTACGCCCTCGGAGGTGGAAGAGCATCCAAGCGGCAGTTCAAGCCGACCCGCTTCCCCACGCAAGCGTGCCGGGTCACCCAGCAAGAAGAAAGCAACGGCTGCTACTGGCTCTGCTGCATCTGTCGCGTGTTTTCGTACGGCAGACCTTGCGCTGGATCGGGAGGGCTTCATACTCGTCGCGCTGATGGCGGGAGGAGACTATGACGTCAAAGGTCTGGTTCGCTGCGGCGCCAAGGTGAGTGCGTGCGAGCTGTGTTCGCCGGCATCCACTGAAAAAGTGGCCTGCCCTTCGTTCTTAGATTGCGATGGGGTTGGCAGCCGCAGGATTTGGCTCTCTGCTGGTGCAAGGATTCGAGGAGCATTGCATTCGACCATTGCGGAGTGCATACGCCTTGGCTCAAGGGCTTCCTGCGCCGAAAACAAAGGCTAGCTGGGGCGACTTCAGACGTCGGTGGATCGCTTCTCTGCGCGATGAGCTGCGCACCAATGCGACAGGGATGCTGCCAAAGCGATACAAGGTCTTGGCAGACTCGCAAGAAATGGATGAGCTGCTGGCCACGCCGCAGGCTTTGGCAGTACTCGCCAGCTACGTGTGGCCACTTGTCAGCGAAGCAATCGAGGCTGCACAGCGTCGCGATGGTGGTGCGAACGAGATGACCAAGCAACCGCAGCTTGCAACGATGCCTGATCTCGCGCACCTCGTCAAAATTCTGCGCGTCGAAATGCTCTGGGGAGAGGAAGCTTGTTTGAGGCGCTGCCGCAGTCTGATCTGGGAAGGCATCATTGTGCGGCAGCTGGAAGTAGATTCGGATGAGCAGTCGAGGACGCCGGAGAGCATGCCCGAAACAACAGTGTCCGTGACATTTGCGCGCCAGCAGCGCGCAAGGCCGCTCTACGACTCCCCCACTGCGACGAGAATCTCCGACTTCTTCGCAACCTCGGCACGAATTGACAGTGATCCTCCACGTCGGGGCCCAGAGGTGCGAGACGAGACACCATCACGCCGGGAGTTCAGCGCGTGTATCGCCAAGCTCTGCGGGATTTACTCCGCTCGCGATGGTCCTAGCGGAAGAGAGATCCGGACGGAGTGGGACGTGACCGATCTTGTGGGTTGTGCGCGCCAAGCTATCAGCGATTCGCAGTATGACTGGCGCGCAGCTCTGGCGCAGCGGCGACAGCGCGGAGACGATGCGCCTTATACAAGCAGTACCGAGGAAGCTGTCAGCGATAAGTCTCTCGACTCGGGCTCGGAGACGCGGAAGAGGACGCAAAGGCCTGCAAAGCCGATCGACCACTCCGCCACGTTGCGGTTGTGGCTGCCTCTAGAGCTGCTGGAACGGAGCCCCTGTACCCGCGTGGCTCTGCGCACTTGGCAAGCCCAGCAGCGCGAGAAGAGTGGAAAGGCTGCAGACGCTGCTCAGCGAAGGGCCGAGCGATCTGCCAGGGAGCTCAGAGACAAGGCTGGGCAGCGTAGCGTAGCTGACTTCTTTGGCGCTTCAAGGGCGAAGTCGGTTGTCGCTGGTCCGAGCACGGTCGGCTCACCGTCCAAACCTGTTCGACGCAGTGCTGCTGCGCTCGCTCCGAGCACCCGACCGATCGAGCGTACTGGCTCAGAAGCGTCCTCGGACTCAACATCTAGCTCGCGACGTGCGGCGCAGACATCCGATGCTCAACCTTTCGGCCGTGCTCAATCCAAAGCGCGTAGTGTAGCCAAAGACAACAGCGATTTGGCGTCGAGCACGCCGGACAGACCCTTGACAGACGCCGAGCTGGCAGCTATGTGGACTCGGTCACCGAGTCCCGCTACTCGGCGGGCGACGGATCTTCTATTGAGTCAATCAGGCTGGCTCGATGACCAGCATTCGAATCGTTATCAGCGCCAGGCACCTGTTTCAGAGGGTTCCAGGTCCGATACCGAGGCAAATGACGCTCAGCCGTGCAGATCACGTAGGATCTTTACGCGAACGCCTCCGCGCACCTCTTCGAAGCCCTCGGAGCGTCTCTCGCTCACGCCTCGCGCGGTCGGAGAGATCAGTACAGATCTCGACGAAAGCTTGCCAAGTCCTTCCACGTTGATGCTGCCAACGAGCCGGGCTCACCGCCTTCAGAGCACAACAAAATCTGCGCGCAGCTCGTCACCGCCGCACAAGTCGCCTCGCAAGACAAAGTTGCAAGAGTCGCCACGTCGTGAAGTTGACGCTGCGTCCGCATCTCGAAGAGCGCAGAGAGGCACGGGCGAGAGAAGTGGGGCTACTAGCTTGCCTTCTTGCAAGGCTCTTGCGGAGGTTGACAGCGATGGAGAGGAGGAAGAGGAGGATAATAGCGTGGTCTTTGTTAAAGCGCCTCCGCAACCGATCTTCGGACCTGAAGGTACGAGAGCAGGACACAGAGGAAAGGTTCGCGCTCGTCTTTCTCAGGCTATCTTGCTCGACTCGGACTCGGATCAGTGATTGCTCGCCGTCTGCGATGACTCGATACCGCCTCGCCTTGCTCCTTTTGGATCTTGATAGTCTTAGGTTGCTCACTAACGGCCTACTGCCTTGGCTTGTTCTTGTGGGTCTGCCCTCTGTATCATATTGTCTGTCACGCGTTTTGCCAATGGATCGATCACCTTCCGTTGGTCATCTCTAGCGAGCCTATCGAGTGACGCAGAATCGGTTATCTCACCATTAATGGCCTTGGCGACGAGGCCACTCGACTTACCCACGGCTCTAGCGGGCAGGTCGCCTGATGACCGCTCGTCACTCACGTGCACTGCATGCTCGCGATTTGGGTCCCGCGTGCTTGCCTCCACATATCGCATCAGTAAGCAGAGCGCTCCTTCTGCTGATCCTTTGCCTGCGACTGTGACACTGCGATTTCGAACGGCTCACGAAGAACTACGAATCAAGGATTCGATGGCGTGACCTCGCAGCGTGGTCGACTTACAACAGAAAAGGTGTCAGCAAAGTGCTCCAGCAGCGAGATGCTTAAGTCCGACCGAGCTCGGGCGAATGTAAGGGAGTGGCACCTTACCCAAGAACGTCAGTTAAACGGTCCATGAGAGACTTGGCATACATACTCTACCAACTGCACCCCACGCTGTCTTGCACTCAAAGTGGAGAGCTTGCCTCGCATCGACGATCTCTTCGCCCGCGCAACACATCATCAGCACCCATTTCCATCTGTAGACGTGCACATCATGGCTCCAAAGCTCAGTGCCAAGCCCATCCGCTTCCGCTTTCCCGACTCGGACCTGGAGAAGCTGCAAAGACAATTGGATGACACTTTGCTTCCAGTTGAAGAGATTGTAGCAGATGCGGGTTGGAAGTATGGCACTGATCTTTCCAAGTTGAAACAATTGGTGGAGGATTGGAAGAGAGGAGATGTGGTGGATGCGTTTGGAAAGAACACGGGACCTGGAGGAGGAGTGGGTGCGTGGTGGAGAAAGGTGGAGGAGAGGATCAATAGGTATCCTCATTACATTGCCGAGGTCGAGGGTGTGCAAGTTCATTACCAAGTGGCCAGATCGGCAGAGACGGATGCGATTGCTCTCATTTTCAGCCACGGATGGCCAGGAAGCTTCTTTGAGGCTGATTTGCTGCTGGACAAATTGACACGGCCCGACATTTCAGGACGATCATTTCACGTCGTGGTGCCGTCGCTCATTGGCTATGGCTTATCTGGTAGACCTCCCAAGCAGGGTTGGTCCCTCGAAGACACGGCGAGATTGTTCGACAAGCTCATGACCGAAGTGTTGGGCTTCCAGACCTATGCAGCACATGGCGGTGATTGGGGCTACACCATCACTAGGCTCTTGGCGCGCTACGATGCCTGCACAGCATACCACACCAATTTCCTCGTTCCCAACATTCCAACATATGCGCTGCCAATACTGGGTCTGGCCAAGATGGGTTACAGCAGCATCACCGATCGACTGTTGCCCTACATTTTCGATGCGAGGGACGTCAACCTTCTCAAGCGCGGCTTGGAATACATCAACGTGGGCAGCGGATACTATCAGATCCAAGCGACCAAGCCCGCAACGGTGGGTTATGCGCTCTACGATTCGCCCGTAGGAATTCTGAGCTACTTGTTGGAAAAGTTCAGAGAGTGGAGCGATAGGAGAGCACCGGCTTTTCAGCCTGCTGGCCAAGGAGAGCAGAGCAGCGGCATGACGGACGAAAACATCTTGATCTGCGCGACGATCTACTACCTCACCAAATCCACCCACACTTCCTTTTTGCCTTACTACGAGAGCGGCTACCTCTTTAACAAATTCGGCAAAGATCGCAACTTTACCGCCCCAGCAAGAAAGAAACCTTTTGGACATTCCCGCTTTCCCTGGGAATTGGGCGGATCGCCTAAACCTTGGATCGGCAGGTTGGATGTGAACCTCAAAAGCCTCAAGGAACACGATTACGGAGGTCATTTTGCAGCGATGGACAATCCGAATGCCCTCTCGTCGGATCTGCGCGAATTCTTTACGGCGCATTTCTAAGCCCCACAGATGGCATCTCTCGTACCCTCAACTTTGCATCTCTTGCGCTGTCCCGAATCGCTTTGGTCGTCACAAAATCCACAATGACAATGCTGGGCCCCTGCTCTGAGAGAAGGCTGTGTTCCGCCCTCGTTGCCAGGTGTGCAGGCGAACCAGACTGATAATCCGAGTGTACAGACTCAGCAAAGCACATGAAGCATTTTTTTGTTCCAGTCTGAGGACAATGTTGAATGATAGGGGAATGAGTCGCAACTATCGCTACCGCCATCGAGCTTGAGTTTGGAGAGCGAATGGAATAAAATTTTGGCAACGAAGAAGCGTAGAGCTTCGCCAAAGGTTCAAAGAAAAGATTGATGTGCTGGGCCCATTGGGCCATGGATACGTGTGTGTGTGGATAATATCGGTGACTTATGAGCCCGGCAGATACTTTGCAAGTTGAAGTATGCATGCAAGCAGAAGATGAAAAGGGGGAAATACGATGTGTAGTGAGAATGAGTCGAGATGTGGATGGAAATGGACATGTGCATTCGTGCTGGTCAAGTTCAGAGAACATGGGGTTGAGCACCGTTTGCCTCTCTCCTAGACGAGGGGGGTAAAGTCGTTGATCTGGTCCCACAAGTCCTTGCGGATGTCCTCAGTGGTGGTGGTGCTCTTGGCCATGTCGAACCAGAACTCTTCAGGCTCGAGGGAGGGGCAGGTAGGCTCGTCCTCTGGGTCGTGGTAAGCGCTGAGGTAAGGATGAGCAAGGCATTCTTCAACCGTGGGACGCTTCTTGGGGTCGAAAGCCAGCGTCTTGGTCAAGAAGTCGAGGCACTCGGCAGAAGCGTGGGGGAACATCTTGCCGAGATCCTTGCGCTTTCTGAAAGGCTGAGCGCGAATGTAGTCTCGAGAACGACGGGATCCGATGGAGTAGAAGTCGTCGATGGAAGGTGTGCCCAAGACGTCGAGGATCAGAGCGAGCTGGTGGTGGTAGTCACGGCCGGGGAACAAGGGCCTTTGGCTAATCATCTCTGCGAGAATGCAACCGACTGCCCAGACGTCGATGGCCTTGGTGTACTGCTTGAAGGTGAGCATGATTTCGGGTGCACGGTACCATCGAGTGGCAACGCTGTGAGAGGGGAGCACGGATGATCAGCATGTTGAGCTTCCGCAAGCAGCACCTCCTGGAATCAACCATACAACTCACTATTCAGTCATGAAACCAGTCTCTCCTCCGGGATCGGCAGTGCGGATGCTGCGAGCGAGGCCGAAGTCGCAGACCTTGAGGTCGCAGTTTGCGTTCAAGAGCAGGTTGCTAGGCTTGAGGTCACGGTGGATGACGTCAGCGGAGTGCATTGCCTTGAGAGCGCGGAGAATTTGGTAGGTGAAGTATTGGGCATGATCATCAGAAAGCTTTTGGGTGCGGATGACGCGGTACAGATCCGTTTCCATCAGCTCTTGGATGAGGTAGACTTCCTGAAATTGCTCATAAGATGGCGGCTTGACAATGTCAAGAATCGAGATGATGTTCTCTGAGACCTCGCAGTCTTGGAAGTAGCGCAGCAGCTTGAGCTCTCTCAATGTTCGCAGAGCGAACATTTGGTGTTCGAAAGGTTGAATCTTCTTGATGGCCACCTTTTGTCCAGATGGTCTGTGGATGGCTGAGCAGACGATGCCGTACGCGCCTTCTCCGATAACGTCGCAGACTCTGTATCTGGATCCGACGTTGAAGCTGGTATCGAGCAATATTTGTTGGGTTCGAGATGATCGACGGTGAGATGCGTCGGCATTAGTGGAGATGTTGGAAAGCGATGGATCGGCGTCGTCGGAGGCATAGGCGGAAGCAGGTTGCGAGTGACGTGGTGGTGCGATGGTAGGGTTACAATGTGGCGAGACCATGGTGACGGTGGGTGGTTGTGGTGCCAAGCGAGTAGCGACCGGGACGAAGGCAGCAGCAGATGCGACGGTAGCAGAGCACCGACGCGAGTTGATTGTGGTCATGCAATTAGAGGAGGCGACGTCGAATGGTTGATGAGTGATAGTAGCCATGATGATGATGATGATGATGATGATGATGATGATGATGA